AAGAATTCTCTCACTGCATTTCGCTTATTGCATACAACATCATCGAAGACAAAGATCGAATTGGGTCGTGCCTCGCTCGGTGGAATGACATCATTGTTGTTGGAGAATGTACCAGGTGTATGCATAAGTTTTTCCGGTTTTTTAGTAAAAAAGACACGTAATTTTCAAGGGAAATTAATTTTTTTTTATTCAAAATATTGGCCATCGGCTTTTACACATTTCGCCTATCTTTCAGGTAATTTATGAATACCATGCCAGAAAAACTGCTTGTCTTTTGCGGCAAACCATTCGTCGAGCCATTTTTCAACTTCCTCAAAATTGCTGAAGTGCTGCTCTGCGAGCGCGTGCCCCATTGATGCGAAGAGGTGATAGTCAGATGGCGCCAGGTCTGGGGAGTACGGCGGATGCGGAAGGATGTCCCATCCAAGCGATTTCAAGGTGTCTTTCACTGGTTTTGCTGTGTGAGACGGCGCATTGTCGTGTAACAAAATCACTTTGCCATGTCTTCTGGCCCATTCCGGTCGTCTTTCGATTAATGCGTGGTTTAAATTAATCATTTGTTGGCGATAGCGTTGTGTATTAACGGTTTCGCCGGGCTTCAAGAGTTCATAATACACAATACCGCTCTGGTCCCACCAGACACAGAGCATGGTCTTCTTGCCGAAGCGAGGCTTTTGGTCTTGGTGATGGATCGGCTTCGTCAGGTGAAAGCCACGATTTTTTCCGTTTCGGGTTTTCAAAATAAATCCATTTTTCGTCATTCGTCACAATTCGATACAAAAATGATTTCCTTTCGTGGCGTTGAAGCAGCATTTCACAAGTGACTTTGCGATTTTCCATTTGACGTTCATTCAAATCGTGTGGGACTCATTTACTGAGTTTATTGATCTTTCCCATTGCTCGTAAACGTCTGCTGATTGTTTCTTGTGATACATATAATGCTTCTGCTAATTGCCGTTGAGTTTGAGTTGGGTCATCGTCCAATAACTCCTGCAATTGCTCGTCTTTGCATTTTTGTGGTCTACCAGAGCGCTTACTGTCTTTCACATTGAAATCACCACTTTTAATTGTCGAAACCATGTCTCACATGTTCTAATCGATGGAGCGTGTTCACCATATGTTTCTACCAGCAAACGATGACTTTCAACAGCCTTTTTCTTTTGATTAAATAAAAAAGCAATGCGTGCCGCAAATGTTCTTTTTCAGGCACAAAACTCGACATGATCACTGAACGATAAAACAAAGACGCTAGTTTTTGGCGGACTCAACTTGTGTGTGTTTGTTTTAAATGTCAGACGAACAAAATGATGTATGTGTCAAATTAATACGCTGCGTACTTTTCGCTGGCGACATCTCTTAGTTAAACCGGAAAAAACTTATGCATACACCTGGTAAAGTAGCCGATTTCGTCGATCGATGTCAACAAAGTTTCGAGATATCGATATTTTGTTGCAGCGATTTCGATTATACGTACACGTTCTGTGTAACGTACAGCGTGCGGACTCTCGAGCAAGCTTATGAGAACATTAGTTTTACCGCAATTCGACCGCAAATGATGGCGCGATACTCGGTAGCATTTCACCGTGCTTACGCTCCGTCGCGTTGTCCTTCATTACTCGCGCTTTCTCTTTGCAATTCGCGACGCGTATCGTCAATGGCTGCCGCACGAATTTCATGTTCGCACTGCGTTATCTAGGCTTCGATCGAACGCCTATTTATAGGCGCGCGAAACCGCGAATCGCTCAGTTGCAAAAATATATCTCGCGCTGTCGCATCCCTCTGATATTTGGGACTTGAGCGCTGAACAGTTGCAATATATATATTGAAAGTCGTACTGTTATGCGCGTGCGGTGAATGTATCGACCATGTGTAGAACAAGCTTCCGGATCATATAAAGACGAATTTGGACATTCGAATTTATCGTCGCTGTATCGAGCATTATAACCAACCGTGGCAATGTACGCATCTAAGATAAAAGATTGTAGCGTATGTCAACAGCAGCAACGTCAAACGTAGGTTGCAGTGGAGGTCTGCTCAATCGAGCTATAAATGCGCTTCCTTTTGAGTTACATATTTCCGGCTATCAATTTTGCGGCACGGGTATTCGGCTGAAGAATCGATTAGGTGAAACGGGCATAAATCCATTGGACGCGGCGTGCCGTGAACACGACATTGCGTATCCTCAGAGCAACGATCTCGCCAACAGATACGTAGCGGACAAGGTACTCGCCGATAAAGCCTAGGACGCGTCATCATGAGGGATTCGACTCTGAGCGAGAAAACTGCAGCTGCAGCTATTTGGGCAGTGATGAAAGCCAAAACCAAGATCGATATAGGTATGAAAGCGAAGTCGTGCAGGGGCCGTGATATTGTGCGAACGTGTCTCTATCGCGCTCCGCCAAGTGTGTTCTTTGAGCTACTTTTATTTTTAATTTTGTGTTCTGTTTTACATATTAATAATTTCGCAACATTATGAGTAACGTAACAATATACTTTTTGTTAATCCTAACTACTTATTTTGTTAATTAGTTACTTCCTAACTACTTATTAGTTAATTAGGCGGAGAGTGCTATGGTGTAATGCATCGGATGGCTGCTCTGTTTTATTCTAAAGTCCGTCTATCCGGAATGTGTTAGCTGCATGGATTGCCTGGACCGTGATTTTTTATTTATTTTATTTTTTCGGAACAGTATGTTTCTTGTGTGTACGTGTGTCTTAAATGCAGATATGTGTGGTGTAAGGATTATTCACGCGAGTGTGTCTCTGAGCGATTGGCATACATTTGATGATGCGGTTATTGGAATATATTTCGGATTGTATTTACAGCAATTACAATGTTAATTAATGTTATCGCTTGCATCGCATATATTTTGTTTATGTTCTGTGTTCTTTGTTTCTGCAGTGGTAGGTTAATGAAAATATGTATATGCTTCTTATAAGATGATATCGATATTACTTTTTGTTTTTGCTTATTAAATTCTATTATTAAATACCTTTTTTATTATACTATTTTTGACAGACATAATTATTATATAGTATTCAATTAATATTTTATATATGCTTTAATAATACTTCAGCTTATAAGTTATGTTGACAGTTGGATATACTGTGTTGCCTAGAAATTCCGCTGCAGATTTTGTATATTGTTTATTCAGTATAGTGAATTTTATAATATTAATTCTTGAATATTAATTCAGTATTCTCTGTCATGAGTCATTTCATATGAAAACTAAATAATGATTATAGCTGATAGGATGATTTTGATACGTTGAATTGTAACGGTACGGTCCCTGCGCGCTCGGG